GTTTTCCATGAAATTTGGTCAGAACATTCACTGATAGATATGGGACAAAAGCGTGTCGGTGAATTCCTTTATTTTAAATACTTTCCTCGTGGTGGCCTTTAACGCAACAGGTTGCGCGAATTTTTCGATAGTCGAACCTGACAGATCTATAAAAATATAACCAATAGAAATAAAAGAAAATGCTGACACGTTTTTGGAGATTGAGGCTTTGTGATTAACACTGCACAGTTATTTTGCATGAACGATTGCATTTGATACCCGATTAATTCGCTGGAACGTCAGTCGGTCATTTTGGAGTTGACGGCCTCTGCCGCCTTTGGGAAGCAAAATCCAAAAAAAGACAATTTCATCGAATTCTACATTTTATAGCCTTTGTGTTGATGTATTGTTTGTGGGGGTTTCCTTGAAAACAGCGCGTACACGAATTTTTTTCTGGACTCCTGCGAAGGTTTGAAGTAACCTCATGTGACACCTTGTATTGCATGCAAGAGAGCAAGAGTTAATTAGAACTCTTTTACTGATTGTTTATCAACCTTTTTTGTCATATTTTACTGGGCCTAGGCTTAAACACATGAATTGTTTGAACATAGTTTGGAACTACTGCTATATACACCAAAGTAGTTTAAAGTGATTCAAGCACTGAAGTTTTTCTGGTTTCTTCTAAGGGTTACTTGTGTCATTTTTGCATGTGCAAGTAATACTGACATTTGGCAGGCAATTGTAGCACGCGCTACTGAGTCTTGGAAAAACTGTAGTAAGCCACCTTCTTACAGGAAGACTTTCCACTAAATATCAGAAGAAAAGGTCTTATATTTGAGCTGTATGAATTATTTCATTACCGGTGTTCAATTTTGTTTGTTTTACATCTTTTTTGTCTAATTATATTTGAATATTTGTATTTTTTCATTTCAGATGTGTTATAGCAGCACTCTTTACAGAGTATCAGCTTTGTATATACTTATCTCCAACAGTTGGTACAAAGTGGAAAGAGGCTATTGATGTATCACAAGTGCTTATTAGGTATCTTAAGCAGAACAATTTTCAGTTACGCCCAGATGTGATGCAAGAAACAACTCGACTAAACTATGTTCACCAGAGTACAAACAAAGGAATGTCACGCAATAAAAAATATTCTCTTTTCAAGCAGCGCACACAGATCCTTGCATTTACTTGTTTGGATTGGTTTTCCCAACTTTACCACACTGGAGGAAACATTTCTTTAGATGAGGGAGATGAGAAAATTGAAAATGAGAAGTTTGCAGTCTTAACAACTGGAAGTCAATGTGGTGCTTTGATATTTTGGAAAGTGGCTGTACCTGTTACCGTGAATTCAGCGGCAGTTCAACTTGGTGGATTCCTAGATACCCGTCTAACTTGGCCTTGTTCCCTATCATGGAAAGAAATAAGAGAGAACCAAGGTATTGTCATGAAAAAGGTTATTGTTCATTGTGGGAGGATATAATAAAAAACAACAACAACAATAATTTCTAATAAGAAGGTTTTGCAAAACATTTTAGAATGAAAAGGAGCGATGTTAAAAGCGAACAACGTTTGGATGACTCCATGTCATCATTACCTATGATGATAATCAATTCTGTCATGTACTCTGAACTTGATAATGATGGCATGGAGTCGTCGTGATATCATTCGATTTTAATATTGGTCCTTTTTGTCCTAACACCAGAATAATATTAACAAGAAGAATAAAAGTGCAGTATTATTACTTGTCTCATGATGTTCATGTTGTCATATATAGATCGCAATGTTTCAATTGCTCACAGTTATTGTGTCTTCATCAGGCAACAAGGTCAGGTGATCATTATTACATGTATGCAATACCATTTATATGGCAGAGGTCACATCTGTAATTCCTGCATTTTGATCCTCCAGTGTTCTTTTGTTCTAGTTTGAGGTTCTTCCCTCAGTTGTCCACTGTCCACTGTGTACCAATCTTCTGTCAATATGTTTTGTGGCTGTGATGTTGGCAGCCACTCTTTGAGAAATTGAATTTCACTATCCCTGTTGATGCTATTAGGGTGAAGTCTTATGTGGATATATAGTTTCTCTTTTCCCGTAAAATCTCTCTCCAGTCCACATTGTTTTATATTATTTTTTAATATTATTCTATTTTAATCATATTTTATAATTTGTAAAGCACCTAGATCACGCTTGGATAGGCGCTATATAAATACTATTTATTATTAGGACTGCGTTCTTCCTTAGGTGAAACATTTCCTTAGGTGAAACAAATTCTAAATTTGTTATTTTTTTCACTCAACATCATAACCAAACAAAATTGTTGGATTAACCTTATCATAACTGTTAATTAAGAGTCCACTGAGTGCTGCTACCTACAGGGGCTTTTAATTCACCAAGAAATAGCTCTTGCACGCCTTGCATGCCTATGTTTTTGTTTTTTTAATGGCGATAACTGTATACAGATAACTGCCGTACTATGTGATATACAGATTCTAACTAACTGCAATACTAACTGCAATACTAGGCGATATACATGAGTTTTCCTTTCGGGTGTCCACTTACAGGACATTAAAAACAAAAGAGAAGTCTAAATCATAAGCCCTCCAAGCGACTGCGGTCACTTACAGGAGTGAATAAATATTGTATGGGAGTTTAAACAGGATATTTTGAAGACTGTCATATGTAAGAGGGCTTCCACTGACTGTAAATAAATAGTGTCTTGAATTCGTACAGCGTGGTTGAAACTCGTATTTCCAAAATCTATAACACTGAACGCTGTCAATTGATCGCCAGTTTTATACCTGTCTTTCGTAGCCAAAATTGATTAACCTGCAAGTTGCCAGAACCACCCTTCACCAGAATCTTACATTAGAAATGCAAAGAATGGTTACACAGGAATGTCTCACACAGGAATGCACCAAAATCACTCCATATCCTGAGTTTTTGCCTCATGTTCACGTGATCAAAGTCATGTGGACATAAGGTTAGAACTCAGTAAAGGAGCACTGTTAGATAATAGGAAATTAAAGTATTCTGGCGCTGCACATAATGAATGAATGTAACATTTGAAATTAGCAGGCTGAAGAAAGTTTAGGATATTTCAAGCATTGACAAGTGTTCAAGAGTAGTGATGAAGTATGTAATGAAAGGATGGCCCTCTTAGAAAGAGCAAGTTGAGGAGCTAGCTAGACAGTACTGGGGTTTTAAAGAAGACCTCAGTGTCAAAGATGGTTTGCTGTTGAAATCAGACAGAGTAGTTATGTCAAGACCACTGAGAATCAAAGTGTTAGTTAAAATCCATGGAGCACATATGGGGGAAAGCAAAAGCCTTTCCTTTGCCAGGGATTATGTCTTCTGGTCCTCAGTGACAGCTCAGATCAAAGAAAAATTAAAGTCATGCAAAATTTATAAGAAAATATTTGGAAGATTTGGAATCCCAGATGAAGTTGTCAGTAACAACAGGTCACAAGAATCTATTCAATAGCAGTCACAAGTTTAAGCAGTTTGCTGTACAGTGGTGATTTTGTCACACTACACACTCACCAGAGCACCCACAGTGAAATGGGACTGCAGCAGACCATAACGATCCCTTTGAAGGGCTCCTGAAGTACTGGAATACACCATATGAAGACATTGGTGCGTAACCTGTACAGTCACTGATGAGTCAACAAACATGCAGAGTGATACCAACTCATCATCAATGCCCCCAATCACCACAGCCAGTGGACTCTGATTGAGTTGTCAAAGCTCTTCAAACAGCACCAGTCTGTTGCTAAGCAAACCTATGACAAACACAGTAGAGATCTGCCTCACTTGAACCTAGGGACAAGTTTCAGGTTCATCCAAACAGGGACAGGACATGGCGTATAGCTGAAGTATTGCCAAGATCATGTCTTCTGCAGGATGAACAAGGATTGTGTTTACAGAGACAAAATAGAAGGCAGATAGTCTGATTTCCAAATGATCATCTCATGACTCCACAACTGTCTGATTCTCAATTAGGTACTCAGATTTGTGACTCTCCTGTGAGCCCATCATCACCATCAGTGGTGAAACAAGTACAAAGAGATCAAATGGAACCAGCAGAGAAGCCAGCAGCAAATGCAGATACTTACCCCTTACAACCAGATCTGGACAAGAAGTCAGAAAGCCACAAAGACTTATTGTATCCTGTTAGGGACACAATCTGTGGGGACATCCCCCTAGTTGACCCTGATATTTTATGCAGGCCTCGCCGTGGACGCTTTTGCCATGTGTACTCAGAGAAACTAATAGAATGACTTGTTCTATGTCAATGGGTTAATCATAGTTCATTTCTATACATTTAACTTACCAAAAAGGTGGGTTTTTCAATAAATGTCATTTTATAGTGATAAAAAGAATTACTAATTTGTGCTTAATTGCAGGTCTGTTGGCTGTAGGTGGTACAGATGGACTTGTTAAGGTTTTCTGTCTCCAAGTGTTTCCATCAATCAGTGGGGTTGCACAATATGTACTGTGGGGAGACAAGGATGACTTGCAGGTGCAATGGTTAAACTGGCTTCACTCACCCCAGGTGTGTTAAACACATGTTCTGCTATTGACATCATTGTTTTAGGCATTATCCAAGAGAAACTGTAAAACTCTTTTGTGTTACTAAAGATACATTTTGTTGTTTTGTTCTGTGATATATGCTGACAGATGGACATTTCCATGATATTGTGTTCTATAGGGGCAAGTGTTAAACAACAGCAAGAATCACTTAATCTATAAATGGTTAATGACTATGTACAGCTGTTTTGTATTACAATGCATTAACTGATCTTTTGACACGTCCGTGACACTATGTTGTCTCTCGTCATTTCGAAATTTTTTTCATAACCAATGTGATTTGTTGCAGGTTACGATTTTGAACTATAGTTATAATAACATTTTATGCAGTTTCGGGTTGCTTTAGCACCCTAGTTTTGGAGCAAGAAAAAACACTGTTGATTGTACATGTATTTGCCTTTCGGTCAGTGCAAAATGCGGACTGCAGACCGAATAAAAAATGCAGACTGCAAACTAGGTACAAATCAACTTAGATTTTCAATTTATTGTGTTTGCCTCGTTGCTTTTACAATTCTCATTTATTCATTACGTGGCATTGAGATCCCAGCAAGTTTTTACAAACAATTCTTGGGAGATCCCCTTTTATAATTTTATAATTTCTACTTTGTATCTATGTAATGGAGATCAATCATGATAATACTTATTGTTAAGCTGATTAATGTAACTGATATATCTGATTCCTGATGTATCTTATTAGTTATGTAATTGATATGAGTCTTCCATGTCATTTGTTCATCAATTAAGTACCAACATGAAGACATTTTGTCCCTTTGACCTGCTCCATTTTTTTTTATTGTTGATTGTGACTGTCTGGCATGTTAATTCTTCGTTCTAGTTTTAATATCATGAAATTTGTTTTACTAACAATCAGCATTAGTTTGTTGGAATCTTACCATTGTGACACTTTGATGATCTCTTGATTGGCTATTTGTAGCATTTGATTAAGGTTTTTGTACTGGAAGAATAAATTTGTACTGTCAGCAAATAGAACATATTAAAATAAATCAGAGCTTCTAAAAATATTATTTTGTATATATGGAATTTAAAGCCTTCATAGTCTTCACACTTAGCGCACAAGATTTTAGTATCAAATAACAACACCTATAAATATGATGGAAATATTAGATGAGAACAAGTGAATTAGAATCTTGCAGCAAATTAAGGAATGCCAAAGTTTCCTACACATGCAATTTGTCTTAATAGAAATGAAGAACAATCAGCAAAAAAAGTGAAGCGACATTTTCGTGACTGGTCATTTGTTTACTTTTCTTGCTTTTTTTTTTAACTAGTTAACCATACAGTCAGTAAATAGTACTTAACATTGAAATATATCACTCAAGACAAAGGAACGGTATTCTTCCCTTTTTTCTTTCCTAATTTCTTGACCCCATGAAGAGCCTGTTCTGCATTTGGCTACAAAATGAACACTGATTGATCATTGTTTCTTGAATATTGCGTGTTATTTGAGATTACTCAGTCTGCATTTTGTACATAGTCTGCCTTTTGTACCTGGTCTGCAGTCTGCAGTTTACATTTTGTACTGACCGATTTCCCTTTCCTGTTTTGGGTCTCATGCTTGAGTATGTTTGTACCCACATCAAGTACTCGGTTCTATGAAGGAAGCTGTGATATGATTGGCTCTGTGTGAAGGCATTATGAAATTATGAGTTGGGAAGGAAGGAATGAATTGTGAAAAAAAATTGTTTGAGTTACATAGCTGCACATGTTAATTGGCAACAACAAAAGCTGCATTGTAAATAAGAATGTATGGTGTTGTTTTTTGAAAAGTCTGAAATTTCTTGTTGGAATCATGTTGAAATCAGTCTCAAATCAGAATTGGTTTTGCATGCAGCTTACCCCCAGCATTTTGGCAGTTTTCGCCCAACAGTTCACAGGAACCCATTTAAATTCCTGGGTGGAAATAGTCACTAGTGGAGTAAAGCATTCAGCCCAAGAGCACAACACAGCTGCTTTCTTATATTTTAAGTATTGCATTGTTTACAATTGTTGAAAAGCTTTGTTGACGCACGTGATGTGTTTGCTTGTAATACTTGTGAAAATGAGTTCCAACACATAAGATGCATGTATAGTAAACAGTTCATTTTACATATTTTACATAAAGCGTGCGCATGTGTTCATTTATGCATGGGCTGGGGATGCTTCAGACACTGAGTGAGAGTTTTAAATAACTGGCCCAGAAACCCTTGAAATTACTATTCATTTGCATTAAGTCGTATTTTTGTTTCCCTTTACAGGCTCGTGATGGACTTCATCATCTAGTCGTGTGCAAAGGACCATCTGTTATAATATTTTCAATTTCTGTAAAAGATGGGATCTCTATTCAAAAGCCGCAACACAAAATAATGCAAGGTTTGCACAGGATGCCAATTACAGGCCTGGCTTGTACAAACAATGGGACTGTCTTTACCTCCAGCTTAGATGGTTCAGTGCAAACATGGACTGTTGGTAACGATGGTATTATTTTTATAAAATGTAGCTGTTTTGTTTGAGGCTACCAGTGTTACATGTAATAATACATAGGTATGGTGAATCATTGAAGTTTTTTTGCTTTTTTCATGAAAGAAATAGAAGACCGACTTCCTAAGAAGTCAGTCAATTGAGTCTTCCTCCTTCATTGCATTTTTGGGTTTGTGGAATTTTTAATTTTCGGCTGTTTATAATTCCAGTTGAAACTGAATTATTTATTGTTTTCGTCATCATAAGATAAATATGTTCCGAGCATATTTATTGGTTCTTCACTAGTCGAAGATTTAAAATTTTATCTTTGTAAAGACGTGAGGATCCTAACCGAAGTCCACACAGTCACTTGTGGCATGTGCGAATGATGAAAACAAAATACAACTCTGCAATGCACTATGGACTCAAGTATTTTGGGCGACCTTTTGATTTAATTTGATAAAATATGCTAACAGTTCGTCTATTGTCTACTCTTTCATGTAATAAATGAGGCATCATATAAAAGCTCAAGTAATTTGAAAGGATTTACACTAATCGTAAAATTGCACCCCCAACGTCCTCGTGCAATTTTGAGAGATATTTGGAATATCACTCAAAGTGTAAATCGTTTTGCACTCGCATTCATAGGATTACCTATAGTAATTTATTGCCAAAATGTAGACTCACATACTGTACTTGAATTGTTGTGGTGAAAGTTTGTCAAGTTTGTATTTGACTTCGATTTTTGTTACATTCCTTTGTGTCTGTGATTTTTATTTTCAGGTTTACTGAATGGGACAAGTATTTTTGTTTTGCAGATGGAAGGTCAACAACTGCGATTAATTATGATTCAAAGAAAGGCTTCATGTGCACTGGCATTGGAGTTTCTGCTAATACTGTCTTCCTTGCATTGTTCCTCTCTCCCTCAAACTACACGCAGCAAAGTCTGGAGTCTCATCAAATTTATGTAGGTCATTTATGGTGATTCTCCTCAATTGCATTGCACATACCTACTGTGCATACTTTTAGCGTCATAAGCACACACTCAAGAACGCGCGCACATATACAACATCAAGGGATTTCCTTCAAGCTAAGCCCAGCAGCGAAATAAATGCTCGTTTTCTCATATAGAAGCATAGTGACTTATATCTTTTATTACATAATTTTTGTGTCCAAATTATCCTCTACAAGTTAAAAAAGTTATAAAAAATTGTTCAGAAGGAGAGAAAGATATAACTAAAAAGTGTGCAGAAAACCGTTTCCCAGTCGTGGATGCAAATATGACCTTTAAAACAATGACTTGAGAAACGCTTTCAGTCAATACCGCTTAAAATTGTGTGAATGTGTCATAAATTATAACATTGTTTCGTATGCTTGAGACGTTTTACCTATCAAGTTTTTTTTTAACTGTTTCTCTAGAAAACTTAGCTTCCAGCTTCTGCAAAATGTAAGATGAAGTGATGAAATAACACGCGTGATTAGGCATAAAGGGGGTAAAATTGGCCTATGATATCTCCTTTGCAAGCATGATGACCTATCTTTTTTATTGTATTTTTCGAAACAGTGCATGCCTAGTTATGACTGCACAAACGTGTACATTATTAATGTGGCTGAATGGTGCAAAATGAGAGAGAGTACCATCTCATATTCGTTTGTCAGCTGAAACAAATGGCTACCACAAGAAAGTAGTCTGGTTATGTGTCGTATGTGTGTATAAAAGATAGCAGCTCTTACAAAGTGACGTGCCTTTCTGTAGCCACCCAACCAACAGTTTTGATAGTCATTGTTAACCGGTCACAGTGCAAGGTTTTGGTGACGGTTATATTAGGCCCCCTTGAACAGTTTTGAGCATGGTGATGGGTACGCTGGCGGCTGTCATAATCATTTTATGGGAGGAAAAGCAAGTGCAAGTTTAAAACTTAAAAAAGAAGACATTTTCGATCTGGAGTCCTGTGATCCATTTCCTACATGTAAAACTGAAACCCAGATCGACAAAATGTTGTATTCGATTTATAGTTTGCTTACATCGTTCCCGTTTATTGTAACTGTTGAAGCAGGATCGCCAATAGAGACTGCAAAACAATGCCGAACAACATGACAAATCTGAAGTGAGTTGTTGTTATGCCACGCCAAAATCCTCACATTTCCTTTGAATTGTACTTGAACACAATTTAATTAGACCGATTTTAGAGCCAGTAATATGAAATAGCTGCTTTTGAGAATCAAACCAGAATGGATGATTTGTGTAAATAAATGTGATGGTTTCTGTGCAGTGTCCAGAATTGAGTATTTGCGAAAGTGACTTGTTAACTGCAACAATGACTAATCGTGTAGCAAATTTTGAAATTTTCTTTACAAGAGTATTGCTGTTATCCCAATTATTTGTTGTTTCAGATACAGTTCGTTAACATTGCATGGGGTTTGCCATCAGTAGCTCGTCTACTGAACTGTCAAAATGTTCAACTGGAAAGAAGGTGGGATGTATCCAAAGCTGTGCAGCACTTCATTTTTTACACTGATCTTCCAGAGGAGCTCAATCTGGCATTGACCATGAAGGCTTTGGAGACCTGTTCGTTTCCCGAGTTAATAATCAGACATCATGTGTTTTCTGTTATGCTGGTTGTCGCACGGCAGCAGGAAAGTGAGCTTGGTTGTAATGAGTCACAGCTGAATGACTTTGCAGCCCAGCTTGAACGCACTGTAAACTGCATGTACAAACGCTTGGTTACTGCGACATTAATTAGCTGGTTAGAAGGAAGAGAAGAAGGAACTGTCAATCATTCAGGTTAGAGAAGCAACTTATATGTACTCTTTATTCCCTTACATACCACGTGACTACTTTAACTTACTCTGTGTACTTGGTTGACTTTGCCGTAAAGACCTCGGAACACCTGTTTATAATAAACTGATCCAAAGAAAAACAAAATGGCCGGCGTGAACTCGCATTTCGCCAGTGTTTCTGAATCGGAAATGCTGACAATACAAGTAGATTCTGTACCAGAGAATACAAAGAAGGCTATGAAATTTGACCTGAAAGTTTTCAAATAATTGAAAAGACTTACTGACGTTCGACTTTCGAGCAGTTTCAGGACTTGACCTCGCCGGGCAATCACAGATTTCATCAATCTAAGCAAACCCTACCGGAAAGTCGCTCTTCATTCGGCATTGGCAGAACTGAATACCGCAGGGTTCATCAGCAAAAACATCAAGTGCTTTTAAACAAGTCTCAAGTAGAACGTCTGTGTGTAAGGAAACATCCATTTTTGAGTTATTTTTTTGTAAAAAAAACCTCTTAGTCGGCGCGTCGGGTATGTTATGGACGTTCAATGGATGAGTGAGTGAGAGTGAGTGAGTGAGTGAGTGAGTGAGTGAGTGAGTGAGTGAGTGAGTGAGTGAGTGAGTGAGTGAGTGAGTGAGTGAGTGAGTGA